AAGTGAAGGTTCTGTGTCAGAGGACCATAAGGCATGGATTTTGCCAACCACTTGAATAAACTTAGAAACAAATTCTTCCCTGGAACCTTCCTAGACCTAAAGAAAAGACCCAGGTAAGGTTTACCTGGATTTCTGACTTACAGAAACTGTGAGACAATGTTTTGAGCTGTTCAATTTGTGGTAAGGCTTTTATGCAGCAATAGAAAACTCATACATATGGATATTGTGTGCTGGTATTTTATTAGATATTGATGATTTAATGTTGAGAGAGATGAGAATTGTATTCTCATAGATCATAAAGACTAATAGGGAAAACAGGTGTAATAAGACTTGCTACTGTGATTGTCACAAAAGTAAAGAAAGAGAGAGAAACACATAGAAGTTTTCCCATATAGGGTTAAGAAGAAGACCTCCTTGAGGAATTGATGCTTGAGGCTTGAAGGATGAGTAGAATTTAACCAAAGGAAGACATAGTGGAAGAAATCTCTGGGAAGATGAACCAGGGCTCAAAAGAGAGCAAATCTCATAGAAGAGTATGAATAGAGATAGAGAAGAATTTTACAAAACATAACTTTCAGTAATTGTCAAGAACTTCCTGTGAAAAAGACAGAGGAGGCAATGAGGGAGTAGATCAAGAGAGAATGTCCTTGGGCTCTGTAATTTAGATGGGTGAGGCTTTATCTTGCTTAAATGGTTTATCTTTTGATGGTTTTTCCAGCCCTCTACTCCCAGAGGTCATCTGCTGAAGGTGAGAATTGAGGCTAGAGGAGAAAGGAGGATGACCATTATGGAGAATTACACAGACAATGGACTGGGAAAATACAGGATTGCCAATAAGCTTTGAAGACATAATTTCAGAGTTATAAAAAGTGATCAGAGCAGGAAGTGTTGGGCAGTGAATCAGAAGCAGGAAGAATGGAGCAACTAGAAATGGAGCAACTAGAGAAGGATTCTAAGATAAAGAAACAAATAAGATAAAGAAACAAAGTTGAATGAAATTGACGAGTGTCCAAATTTGAGATAATTTTTGTGTATGTGAGAGGATAAAGCTGTGGGTCTTAGAACGCAGATTTATTTGGGGGAACACTTTGGTAGGGGATAAAAAGTATCCAGGCTCAGAGTATATCAATGTCCAAGAACTAACCTACTACTGCAATCCCTACTGTCACATAGATTCACTGTCTCCCTCATAAGATAGCTCTCTAAATCTCTTCTTTACAGAGTATCTTTCTCCAATGGCATGATTCTCTCTACCCCCATCTCACTGACCCTCTCTGTTTCTCTTTGCCCATGTCACATTGGCCCCCTCCCACATGTAACTCCATGGCTTCTCAAAAAGAACTCTGAATCCCAACTTTTGTGTTACTTGGAATCCTCTCAATTCTGTATTTTTAGGTATCTTGGTCAATGGGTCTTGGATGCTGTACATCTCCTCACTATATGCCACTACGAGGGAACTAAGCACCAATTGTAACTCTTCATAATAACACAAAACTCTACCAAAGTATGCAGCTGGTACCCATAAATATAGGTCTCCCTAGCTTTCACTACCAAGATGTCATTTGAGATCCAGAGCTTTGTCTCCAGCTGTCTGTTAGAAATGATGGTCTACATGTCCTAAAAGGATGCCAAAATAACATGCCTCATTTCTCCTAATTCATGTCCATGCTCCTGATCTTTTATACATGAAAGCATTGGTTCTGTTTATATTATCTTTGAGAAGCACCACCTACCCAGTTGCCCAAGTCAGAAATTTGGGTGTTATTCCAGACACTTCCTTCTTTTTTCTACTCACAGTCAATACATCCTCAGATGTATTGTATAGAGGTCAGGGGATAGCATGAGTTCTTAATGTCATTTTTTAATTGGATGCTTTTTATTTGGATTTTGTTCAAGAATAAGAAAGCTCAAAGGAGTTGGGGATCCAGTGTAGAAGTCATGAAGATGTTGCGCTGAGGGGATGGAGGCACAGAGGAGCCTCAGTAGCTGTTTATGATTTTTAGGATCCATCTTGCATAGGGATGAATTTCAGTGAAAAATCCTTCACTTCCCATAGTGACACTTCCTTTTGCCCAGGACAAGATTCCATGCAATCTCCCATTGCAGATGGCTGGAGCAGCTGAAACTTCCTGCCAGCGAGAGGGAATTAGGAGGTCAATGTTGCTTAGTCCTCATGGAACAAGAATAAATCCCAGAAAGTTGCACATTATGGTAGCAGGGACATTTAAGGGAATGGACTCATTTTTCTTGAGAAGTAACAACCCTCTCTTAATATCCACATAGGTCTCACCTCTGTTGGGTCAAGTTTGGCCCAACCTGATAGCAAGCAGGTGAAGAAAGGACAAATGGTTCTGCCCAGAATCTCTTCTACTCTAAAGGAGGGGAAGGGGGACTCATGACAAACCCAGAAACTGTGTGTGTGTGAGGAGGAGACTTCAGGCCTTTTGGATGAGTACCATTTACTTTCTCACAATCATCTCTCCTCATCACAGACCCCTCGCTATCTTCCTGCCTGGAGAAAGGAAAGATACCTTAATTTCAGATATGGTTTCCAGAGGTTGTCCCACACACATGATGTTGACTGTCATTCTGTCACCTAGCATAAAGTTACACTTATGGAAGGGAAGAAAATGTTGATTTGTGAAAGAGAAGAGAAATCAAGCCCAGTGTTACTGTCCTTATTACATATACTCTTGCGATCATCCCCAATTTTGTAAATGCATTGATCCCTGAGAATATTCTTTGCCAGTAGTGAACATTCCATCCTTCTCAGCATTCCTTGTCCATGTCTCTGTGTTAGAGCAGTGGATTCAGAGCATTAAGTCCTCCTTACATCAGACATCAGGTCTGTGGTTCTCTTTCTACTATGAAACCCTTGAAAACTCATGAGAAAACTATGTAATCATGAGAAGAAATGGACACAAAAACTGTCTCCAAGAAAACTTGCTTTTTGGCACCTACTTCATAATTTTTAAATTTAGTCATAAAGGGAGAAAACTATTTTTAATATGTTTAAAACCATTTTTAAATGTTTATTTATAAATGGGTTATTTATATGTATGTGTGTATATGTGTAAAATATACACATATATTTTCCCCTAAGTAGTTATATTATTCTCCTACTATATCTCTACTACAGAAATTGTTACTATCCTGCCAAACAGAGGATGCAAGGACTCTAACCAAGATATTATATAATTTTAATCTTTGGTAGTGAATAGCAAGGAGAAAACAAAAATTGACCAAAAATGTTCAAGCTAAGCCTAGTGTTATTTATAGAGCAGGATTTTTCTCATGGAGTGTATTCAATATAATGTCCTAAAGTATTAGACCAAAAAGTGTTGGGTCAGAAGAGAGAGAAGTTATGTTCAGTTTTAAATTTTAATGGGAATTGAATTGCAATACATAGAACAAACGAGATGAAAGTAATCTTGTTACTTGAAACAATGAATAGTTCTTGGGAGCCTTGCACCAGAGAGCTCATAGAATTAGTTTGTCATTGTGTTCTGACCTGCAGAGTCTATGTGATAAAACCTTCATATAGTTTTATTTTGTTTTCAAATGGTATGTAATAAATTGCTTTTGTAAAATGTGATGTAATTATTTTGGATAAGACTTATAAAGTCAAAGATAAAAATCATAAATTTTTAATTTGTTCAGAAAATGTATTTACTTAGATTCCCAGGATTGTTGCTTCTAAATTGAAAATGAAGATGTCAAATATGATGAATATAAAAGTTCCTACTTTTATTTGTTTTTACAAAACAGAATGACTTTTAAAGTTCTCACTTTTTGTTTTTACAGAACAGATGGATTGTTCTGTAGCCACCAGTGGGGTTTAAACCTGATTAATATCCATGACAATTTGCCTCAGTGGACACAGCTTTGGCAAGCTAATCAATCAGTGTCACTTTTAAAGTCAGCCAATTAGGGCCCCCTCCAAAGGACATGCCTCAGAGTGCCAACCAATCAACAACCTCACTCAAGTATCCATGCCGCTACAGATGATGTCAACTCTCTTTAGCCTCTGAAAGTCTTCCAATCCCTGTCCAGAAAGCTTCCAACCACCACCCCACCAAAAGCCCAGTACTCTGATCTGCTCAGCAAGACTTTGCCTACTCGGCATTGCTCTTCCTAACTATAATAAGCCATAAATTTAGCTTTATCATTTCATTTTAGATATTGAATATTGATTCCATTATCCCTTGACAATACTTAAAGAGAACAGAATGGTCATTAGCAGCCATATGAAGTAAAAACCACCAAGGACCAACAAATGTGTAAGAAAGCAACTTTCTTCATAAAATGCCCTTGATAAGATGTGATCCTGTAGATCTCAGAGGGGAGAGGGATGTGTGCCTGGGTTGTGGCAATTTTTCCAATGCGTGCCAGGCCAGAGAGACACTCAGAGATACACCCAGAGCATGTCATAATAATGAACACCTATGCACCCTCCTAGTCTCCACCCCTACGTGGGAACTATTAGATGGAGCAGTAGGTCTAAGAGTAGTACTCTCTTCACTGAAACAGCTCCGGTGACAGAAGAGAGGGTTCTCTCAACCACTACTTACCTCTTCAGGTCCACTTGAGTGAATCACCATCAAGATAGGTTGGTTATCCATGGTTGGGTGTGGGAAACAGCCTCGGTTGCCTTCCTATAGCACACGTTTTGTTATGGTTTTCCCACTGCTGTCTCATTAGTTGCTTGGTGGACTTTCAGTAGCTGTCCATTGAGACAGTAAACCACCCTCCTACAATATGCCTTGATATTGTCTTTAGAGTAATATATTAACCCACCTTTGTTTAAATTCAGTTCCTGGGATCTTGGATGGAGTAATAACTGCCTGCTTCATTTGTTGATGTCTCATTGGTTGCCCTCTATTAGTCTCTTTGATTTTTATCTTTTGGCAGCTAATCTTGGTATTATTAGATCCTGAAAGCAATCTCTCTAAGATCGAGACCATTACCTCATAGGCCCTGTTTCCTTTAAGTATATCCCTCTATGTTTTCCCCAGCTCAAAGAACACAGTCAAACACTTACAGTTTTTATAGTCATTCCAACTCCAGGTTGGGATAAAGCAGGAATCATTAGTTGATAAAGATTCCAAAGCTATGGCTATAGTTCCTACATAGGTGTTGAGCACAGCAGCCTTGGACAGTTTTATCATCATCAGGTCATTTTCCAAAGTTTGTGCATTGAATTCGGGGTAGGGCATGGTCAATGTGTTATTCCGTATCTGCTCTTTCTTATGTTTGACGCTGGGTTGATGAACTCCCAATCGAATTTTAGCTCTTTGGAAAAAAAAGAGGGCAAAGAGGTGGAAAAGAACAGGGTCACAGAATGTCAGAGCTGCAAGAAATGTCAGAGGTGACTTTCTATAATCATCAATATTTTACCTCTTAGACCTGAGAACTGAAGTGACCTGCCTTGGTCTGTAAAATAGTGATAACAATAGTCTACAGGATTGTTGTTTTAGAGTCAATGTATATAATAAATTCTTGGTATCTGGCATGGTATCTGCCACCTAGACCATGCCTGTATAATCTAGTTGTTGTGATGATGATGATGATGATGATGATGATGATTTGGATCATCTGAATGATCAGGTACCAGAGTTGGCACCACAGTCCATCTGTCTCAAGCAACTCTTGAGCAAGCATATTGTATCGTTTGTTTCTAGATATTCTTAGGCTCCTCCCAAGCTCCTCTCACAGATATTATATTTACCAGGCACCACCTACATTGATCATAGAGTCACAAGATTCTTAGTAGGCTATTAGGACTCCCATTTATTATTTTCCATTATACTCCCTGGATTAATTCAAAACCACTCTCTTGCAATGCCAGAAATCCAGTCATGCACCAGATAGAAGAGCCATTCCCCACTAAGGACACTTCATGCATTAGATATGGCTGAGAAAAAAATATCAGCATTTCCAACTCCAGTTCTTAAAGGAGATGAACTGTCTTTATTTCCTTTGTATTTCTTATAAAGTTCAAATCAAGGGTTCAATCCATTTTCTAATGGATTGTCTTAAATAACCAGGTCGCTGAGAATTCTGAGTTTGAAATGACCCTTGTATACCCATGAAACTCTGAATAGGTCCAAGCACACAACACATTCTGACCCAATTACAACAGAGACTCTGAGAATTATAAGGGATAGCATTATATTGTGCAGTGCACTCTTGCCCATCTCCTGTATCACATGGCCTGCCGAACACTTTACCGTCATTTTTTGAACATCTCCTGTCCTCATTACATTCAGCTAACAACTGGTCTCTCAAATACCTTTACTACATCAGACGCTCTACTCCCCAGCCTTTATTTACTCGGCTGCCTCCTCTTCATTCTGTGGGTCTCATCTCTTCAAAGATGCCTCACATGACCACCTAACTAAAGCATTCTTTTTTTAAAAAAATATATTTTATTGATTTTTTACAGAGAGGAAGGGAGAGAGATAGAGAGTTAGAAATATCGATGGGAGAGAAACATCGATCAGCTGCCTCCTGCACATCTCCTCCTGGGGATGTGCCCGCAACCCAGGCATGCCCTTGACCGGAATCGAACCCGGGACCTTTCAGTCCGCAGGCTGACGCTCTATCCACTGAGCCAAACCGGTTTTGGCATAACTAAAGCATTCTTACTTATTACAGCTTGCCACTCTTTTTATGTTTTCTTTTTGGCCATTTTTTTATTTTGGCTTACTTCCTCTACCAGAATGTAAGATCTATGAGGCAAAATTTATTTCCATCTTATTCCCTTCCAGTTTTCTCAGTGCATTAAGCAGTCCCAGGCATATAGCAAATGTTAAATAAATACATTGAATGAAAGCATATTATTTGTTTCCATGGGAA